ATGTCATAGTGGTCTATAGAACATAACCTGACACAAGCTAAAGCAATTTGCCCCATGGAACTAAACGTTACCTGGGCTTACATTGGCTATATCGTTGTCAGACACATATGACACCAATCAGTACAGCAGTGTCGGTCCATCGAGAATGCATACCTAGTACCCGGTCATGCTAGGGTGCGCATCAGCATGTCACTAACTCATTAAGTCCCAGCAAGGTGTCCAAATACGAAATTACTCACTTGTTACTCAAGGCCCAACATTCAATACTAACAATCCGAATGGGATCACCAGTTATCATTGAGAAAAGGGGGTCCGTGGTGTAGCGGATTAGGTCCCGTGTCGGCATTTTCCACACCCTGTGTTCGGGTTCGCAACCTGCATAGGTTCGGGCATCCCAGTGATATCCCAGACAGAAAACAACCGCTTGCATAGGCAGAAGGAAACCGTAGACACAAAGTACTGGTGTACTGCTGATGTCTAAGTGTCTCTTGTTACCCGGAAACGAAATGAGTGATGCGGATACCCGTGAGGTATGGATGAGAAGTTCTGGTCTCAATAACACAACCAATAAAATGACAAAATAAATCGCCAGCTGCACGCCGTAATGGTGCTTCGCTGTCGCACGACCACCACCAGTCGCGCGCGGGCTGAGTATACCGCGAGGACGCCCACCCCTACGCGGATTCGTACCGGTGACCTTATGGTTGCAAACCAGGCGCCCAGACCACTCGGCCACCGGCCGCATACTGTCCTATCACCCGGGGCGAGGTAGAAAGAATTGAGCAGGTACAACGAGTGGCCAACAGCCTCATCCTCACTCTATGAGGTGTATCACAAGATAACTCGTGTAAGAAAGTAGGGCTTTACGCTCTAGCTTATCGCCAACTGCGGGATGACATCATCACGAGGCACCGGATAATACATCATGGTGATTATGTCATGTTGAGGACGCTGTTGCATTTGCGCAAATCAAACAGCACACGAAAAGATCGGCACAGGCATGTAGTACAAAATTTAAAGCGGGTCGCACACCAACTCGAACGGAGAGTAGTGGATATACGAAACAACCTGAAGACCGCAAGCAGTCGAGAAAAAGTCGGTATGCAAATTCAAAAGAGCCCTGAACGAACACTGTCGAGATGAAATATCGCGAATGCTCTAACAAAATAATAGGTCTCCGTACATGAAGGGTTATATATGCAGGTACACAAACATCTCTTCATGATGCTTCCATCCAGTATCCAGCAAAAGTGTTCATCGTCATTCGGACGCCAAATCTGCAGTCGCAAGACATCAACCGACCCCAACCTCGAAGTGAGGGTCTTCGTACCACTTGACCAAGTCACAGTATCACCTCCCCTCCTCATTTTCCATCCACATCCCGCACGACGCGGGAGTCGGTGTGCTGGCATGCGCAACACGTGACTCAGCCACCGCAGCTTGACGCGTGATATAACGGCGTTGAGCGATACACTCGATCTTCCTGCCTCAAATACGCGAAGCTGAACACGCTCGTTGTTCACGTGGTGTTCCAACCAGATAAGTGCTGAGCTGTAAAGGCAGCGATGAGCGAACGTAACCTCTTTATGCCTGTAGATCTGATGGGCCAGGTTTCGCATCCGTACAGGAGGGTTGAACAGACGACTGCATTGTAAATTCCGCTTTTATGGGCGAAAGTCATGTCGCACCGATGCCACATTTGAAGGAGATTGGCAAAGCACCTCGAGCTTTTGTTATCCGGTTCGGTTCGGGATCTAATCCACTGTTCTACAGGCCTAATATAGCTGCCTATTGGACGACGTCTAACTGATCACAACTAAAAGTCAGTGAAGAGTGGGTCCCTGCCAATCTTGGAGGACTTTGCATTTCAAGGGTGCAATGCATAGCTCACAACAACTGATAGCCAGTGTTAAACTGTTCAGTGCAGCTTGGCACGTTTGGCAGCTGTCACAGATGATGACAATGTCATCGGTATACTCCAAGTCAAGAAGTTGCTCACCACAAAGCAGCTCCACACCTTGTAGGCCGTGTTTAGTAAACCTCGTTTCCATGACTTCGTCAACGGCGAAGTTAAAATGGAAAGGTGGCAACGGGTAACCTTGTCTTACACCGCTAGAGATATTGAAGTGAGGAGATCGTTTATCACAAATCCTCTGTGTCCAAATTATGCGCGCACAGAGTTCTTAAGACATTTACATGTGTCTTGGACACAACTTTCCTGAATAGGGAGTCCCAAAGGGCACATCAATCCACAGAATCGGAGATTGTCAATAAATATGGTGGTGCTCAAACAATTGGCGAAATGTGAAGATGTGATCAACAAAGTCTCGAGTTCAGCGAAAACCGGCTTGCTTCTCGCGAATCTAGCTTTCATGAGTTCAGAAGGACAGAGGCAAGTAACTTAGAGGCAGGTGAGATCAGACCGATACTTCTATGATTGCGGCACTCCGAAGGTAAGCATTTCCTGAAAACTGGGACTATAAAGGAGCAGCTCCAGTCTGTTGGGACAGTCTGCTCCCACAGCTACACCGGTAAGTTGTGCAATAGTTTGATAAGGGGATTCCGAAAATAAAAGGCTATTGGATGTATTTGTGAAATTGATGTAGGTGGCGGAACTCAGTAGGGAATGGCAGAAAGGTGCCCAAGTTTGACAGAGATAGAGACCAGAATAGTGAGAAAACAGTGGTAATTTACAAGATCAGCACCACTAGTATGACTGAGCAATGCCTCATTTCCAGATTCCAAATGGGATAGTTAACTGTTTGGGTTTATCTGTCTAACCAAACTGGTGGGATCAGCTTTCAGAGCACGCTAAGTTATGGGGCAGTGAATAGCAGGCGCACACAAACCGTTGTGCGATTGTGTTGAAATCCGTGGCAACAAGAGCACGGGCATATCCGTGCATAGATTACAGCTATCTAGACAGATTCGACCAAAATTATGAACATCTTAGTACATGTGAGCACTGTGTTCAATCTGCCAATTTCAAAAGAATGCCTGAATTCGATGTTGCTTCCGATTCAGCCAAATTCACATACCGTGAGGTAGAAAAACTATCAAAAGTTACAGTTTTGTCTACCATCGGAAGCCGCTCATCGGTTCAGCTTAAGGAGTGAGAAAAGCAGAAAGATTAAGGGAGCGTCAATTAGGTGGGATGAAGTGACGATGATCATACCAGACATTCTCCGGGTGTCAGAAACAAGTCAAATGACGTCTAAATGAGTGTACGTAGATGACAAGGTCTGTGAGAGGGGAGTAACATTAAGAGGAACAATAGAGTAAAGTACCAAATTGCTTGAAACCAGAATCCACCATTTAGCGTTTGGCAATCGCATTGAACCGTTTCTAAGTGTTTAAGCTAATCCTGTTGCCTAGATAATGTACCTCGCACAGGTGCTGACCGCCGTTAGTTAAGCGCCTGTACATATGAAGTTCTGGAGTCGTCAATGGATAGAATGATGGACGTGAAGAAGATAATCGAGACGATCCAGAGGTTTGGGAAGGATCGGTTGGCATTTTTATTGGGTAATGCTCGGTTTTTGGCAAAAGGCTACATCACGCTAGATGACTCGGTATGTGATTGGAGCGGCATTTTATAGCGTACAAGGACGACAATCGCGGTAGCGGAAACATGAGTCAGGGGATTACTACAGTCACATGTTGGGATGTTACTTCAAGTGGTCCAGCCACAATAGGAAGGGCCCAGATGTTCCCTTGTGCATCATAGCATTGGCAGATAAGCCCATAGTGATGATAAGGGGGTCGAGTTGGACTTCCCAACCTAACGCACGCATCGATGGTCCTCCGGTTGGCTAGATTAAAATTGCTCGCCACACACTTGGAAGTTCTACCCCCTCTATTCTGTTCACGCAGCTGTCGGATTTGGCGATTTCCAACGCCTCGAAAAGCAAACTCTGAGGAATTGATCGCGAACCCCCCTCCAAATGAATGCGACACTATCTAAATCAGTTTGGTGCCCGGTATCGAACGCATGTACTGCCACGGCCGTCCCTTAGTAATGCGTCGTATTCAAACGCCCTCCTTGGTGACCAGAAAATGTGCAATTTACGTTTCGAAATCCCCGTGCACATTTCTAACTTGCAGTGGACGAGGTTGGTCCACGGAACCACAATGTTCCTGAGACGCCACCACCTGACAGCATTATAAGCTGGGTTTGGGGATTACCGAAAAGAAAGTGAAAATGAAAAGTGGGGTTTGTATTGAGTTTTCGATGGAGATTCGTCACAGTAACGCTCGAAGCCCCATCGAAAATTCAACTTAGACCCCATCATTCACAACTCTTCATAAACTGAATTCATCAGTTGCCTCTGTTACAAACAACAAAGTGCAACAAGAGACACGTCCGGCTCCCGACATTTCGAGAACGGTGCATCCAACAAAAGTGAGAACATTTCATTCTTCAGCTAGTAAGATGTCGGTGAAGTGTCGTAGCATGAACTAGCAAATCATGCCTTCACAATCAGCTCGAGTGCATACAAAAGCAAAACAGATCGATACGATAATACTACGTCAAGGATGGCGTAAAAGGGAATTCAGGAGACCCACCACCTGCTTGATTTTGTTAAAGAAGTTTACAGTCAGGCAGTAAAAGGGAAGGACCAGTGACTGTATGCGTCCGCAAAGTGCGACACTGTGCTCGATCACTGATGATGATTCGTAGGTGGAAAATTCAACAGACCGTTCAGGTAGCCTATTTTAGCTCTCGCAGTATATAATAATGAAGTGTTTACTGGAGAATGTAAAATTCATAAGAAGTATTCAAAATAACTCCTTTCCAGTGCCATTATATGGTGCATGTGCTCCGCGTTTAAAGAAATGAGAAAATAGCTTATCTGTTCATTATGGACGAAACCATGAGAAATGCAAGGCAGCAGTTTGCCAAGTTTCATGTGAACAAGTAAGGCGATATAGACGAGTAGGTGCGGTGAAACAGATAGTATGGAGATACAAAAGAGTAGAACAAGGAAACGCTCACATACCATCGGGTTCTCTCTCCGAAATATGTTGCAGGTTTGTGCAGCTTGTCTGCTTGCAAATGGAAGACACCATGTAATCCGAAGGTTCGGTGACTATGACGTAGTCTCCATGGGGTGTCTGACTTACAACTTTGAATTTGCTGTGCCGAATATCGCCGGAGGGGCCCACTCTAACCACAGGATCGGCTCGAGTTAACTGAAATTGGTGCTGCCGAAATTCACCATTTAAATCGTGTGGACCGCCTCCAATTTTACTATCAGCAGTAGGAATCTGTACGTATCCGGTATGAGCATCTTTTGGATAACTGGTCATATATCCGCTCGGTTTCACATTATAGTTGAAGTGGTTCGCGGCCGCTCCATAGTTTGACGTCTCTGAATGTTTGATGGGCTTGGGATGCTTACGACAGCAGCGAGAACACCGGTTGCCCATAATATATGGGGCACGTAAGGATGGAAGCTCTCGCACGCAACTAGCTAAACTGGTACGATATGGTCCATCGTCGGAGTCGTTTGACGCTGTTGTGGAGAAGAGAGATATTGCCCAGAGGATACGAATGGAAAAAGTGTAGTTGTGCTCAAAGACAGAATTGGGCCAACCAATGCGAAATGTAAAAACTGTTTGGGTGTGGAACTGATGGCACAAAACTCACTGGGAACAGTACCGCAACTGACATGAGGTGTAATGTGGTCCATAAAAATAGTGAGAAAATGAATATTTTGGGAAAGATGATAACAACAAGGTGTTCACTTAGTTTACAGCATACCTCTAACAGAGATCGTCAACGTTTGCAGTTTATGTTTTCAACCTGTGATTGTGGCCAGCGACTTTTGCGATATTTTCACTTAGCATCGAGCAGGGTGGATAGGGGTGAGGAAGCTACTGCTCAGGTCATGCAGTATTTTATCTCCACTTGCGCTTTTGCATCCTTATCGTCCCGTTCCAACTTCACTGTTATCCCTCATGTTTTCAACCCTCAATTCTTGCCCCACATCTTGCTTTGATAAGCGTTTGCTTTTTAGTTTCAATTCTATGCAATCGCAGGGCGTCGAGTTAGCCAAGCAATGACTTGATAAAGAGGAATGAAGGATCTTATTTCGAAGTTAACCTCGGTTGGAGCCTCTCGGCTCCCGGTGTTATGGTCACCGAGCTAGCCCAGGGTCACCCTGATTGGCTATTCGAGAAAACTTGCCCACCCCGATTGGCCGATCACAAGAGCGAGACTGTAGATATAGTGTAATGGCCGGCAGACACGAGATGATTACACAGCGCAGAGCATCGGTATTTATTTGTTCGTAGTGACCTTCTTGAACCTTCGCAATTCTCTTCCATTCTTCACTTACCAACAATAGCATTAGGTTGTGCGAGAAAATACTTTTGGTCAACCAATGAGATTATTCTCTATGATTTCTGGAAAGTGGCTGGAAGTTGATTCGTTTAGGGTTCACTGAGCCATTCGTTACGAGGTGTTCTGCCTAACACCCTGACTGGGGTACGAAAGACGGTGATGAAGTTTGGCTGGTTACACTTGTTGGCATGACGTTTGTGCTGTGAGTTTCTTTGTCCCTTCCCCTCCCGCTTAAATTCCCCCTCCAACCGCGATCTCATTTTCTAGCGTATTATGAATTTTGCATAATATTTTTGCGGCACAATACCGGCTGGTAGCTTTCCGGGACGATGCCCATCCGTTTCTGGTGGCGAAGACGATCTGCTTGGGTTGCAGGTTATTTTTCCCTTTTCTTAATTACTGAGGCACAATAGCTGAGCTGTTTTTTACCTCTAGTAAAAGTGTTTAATGATAATGATGATGCAAGGCGTCGACTCAGTCCAATCGACAAGTCCATGATTAGCCAAACGGACAAAGTCAGTTCATGTTTCCATGTTTCCTCGATCCCCCTAAGAATGGTATGCCTCAAAGTGTGCACTTTGTTGCAGATTGGCCAACAGGTAGCGCATGCCCAAACAACAAAGACCCTATCGATAGATATCTGGTATTTATCAGAAACGCAGTTGTAATATTAGGGTTTTTTGCTTACCCAGCCGTACCTCACATGCGACACGAGCGGTGTTTTCTAATTCAGCCTGTTTCAAAAGCCGTTGTGGGCATAGTTCTGAGGCCCCGGACTGAAGCTGTTTCAATAGACTGGAACCCAAGAACCGCTGATTGTGCGCTGCTAGTTGAGCTGACCAATTCAAGACCTTGAAGGCGTGCACTGAAAACGATTCGTTTGTCATTACACCCTGTATCCCACAAATTCTGTGAACAATGAATTGTAGCACCAAATGAACATGTTCCTTCGTTACAGAAACAGTACAGATACTGTCATCATCATCATCATCATCGTCATACACGTTAGCCAGAGGTGGGGAACACCTCAGCTACTGTGCCGCAATACATAGAAAAAAAGGAGAAAAAAGCAACCGGTGCAAGCGGGCTGAGCTACCGGTAACGGATGGGCATCGTTCTGGTAAGCTACCAGCCGGCTAATGTGCATCAAAAAAAATTACTATGCAAAATTATATAAAGCTAAATAATGAGATCGTGGTTGGAGGGGGAGGCTAAGAGGGATGGGGTGGGACAAAGAAACGCACAGCACGAACGCCACTGAGGTCGGCTCCAAGCCATGTCAGCAAGTGTGTCCAACCAAACGTGTTCATCGTCTTTCGGACCCCAATCAGGGAGCCGAGACGCTCCAATCGAGGCCAGCTTCGAAGTGAGGGCCTTCATTCCTCTCGACCAAGTCATCGCTTGGCCACCCCTCCTCTTCTTCCATCCACACCCCCGGCGCGCAAACAACGCACGTCGCGGGAGTCGGTGGGCTAGCATGCGTAACACGTGGCCCAGCCATCGGAGCCTGGTGCGTAAAATAACGGTGCTGAGCGGTTCAGTTCCTTTTCCTGCGCCGTAAACAAGACGTCGAACACGCGCGTTGCTCACGCGGTGTTCCCACCAGATGTGAGCTAAATTGCGAAGGCACCGGTGGTCGAACGTAACTAGCCTCTTCAGGTCCGTTGCTTTAAGGAGCCAGGTTTCGCAATCGTACAGTAGGGTCGAACGTACCGCTGCATTGTACACTCTACCCTTCAGGGCAAGAATGATGTCGCGCCGGCGCCATAAGTGGCGAAGGTTAGCAAAACCGCCCCGAGCTTTTGCTATACGGTTTGTGATCTCATCTTCAATCCCACGGGCGCTGATACAACTTCCCAGGTAGTTGAATTTCGGAACGACTTCTAGCTGATCCCCAACAAGAGTAAGCGAAGGAAGCGGTCCAGACCCATCTTGGAGGAACGCTTTGCACTTCGAGGGTGCGAAGCAAAGCCCGAAGTGACGGACAGCTAGTGCTAATCTGTCCAGTGCCGCTTGGCACGTTTGGGAGTACAGATACTGTGGTGTTAGCTGGTGATTTGTACGCCCAAGTTGGAAAAGTGTCCGCTGACGAACTTCCGCTTGGCGGTCAACACGATGTAGACTCGCGTGGTAATAACGGTGAGCGGTTACACCTGTGTGAAGATGCTCATCTCTTTCTCGTGAGCAATACCTTCCGACATTGCACCCACATAAGAGTGAGATGCCGCCCACCAGCCTCGGAGAAGCCATGGACGCAAGCCGATCACATCGCAATCAGTTACCGTTAGAGAGGATGAGCATGATTTAGATTTAGAGCATGAGCGTGGACTCGTACCATGCACTTGTATGCGCCGGTTCGCGGGTGCGTTTCGGTGGACGTCCGCAACGGCGCTGTGAGTGAACTGATACTTGTCAGCTGACGAAGCCAGATGTTCTGAATACACATCAGAGAACGCTGGCATCCAGCAGAGTAAGCGCCCACTGAATACAGTTGAAGATCACTGCTTGCATATCCACCAGACGTTATCAGCAGCAGGCATGCCTTGATATGGTAGATCAAATCACCGAACTGGACACTGTAGCACTAAGCAGTCTCTGGTACTTCTGCATGCTCGCCGATGTGTCCCGGTTGGAAGTGAACACAACGAGGCTCACAAGGATTTCTGGGCAAAACTGCTTGTTAGCCTGAAGAAAGACTGCGAAACTTGGTTGTCGCATCATGCATTGGAGTTGGAAACAGCCGCTACTCTTGGTAACCATCGTAAGTTATCTCACTTGATACGAAAAACGCGCAGAAGGAGACCTGATGTTAGCAAGACTATACGTGACGATAGTGGACAGCGAATCCACAGATTGTCAAAGCGGTTTGAGGCTTGGACCGAACAATTGGAGAAGTAGTGTAATCGGAGAGTCACCAGCTTCTCTATCGTCCATTGATGGCCCGACATCCTGGGCCGTCCCCTTCGATCCGACGTCACCCGCACGTAAGATCACACGTTTGAACTACAACAAGGACGCAGGAGTAGTTGGACTTCTTTCAGCCCTCTTCAAATTCGCAGTATTGGTTATTATGGAGGATTTGTATAAATTACTGGCGAATGTATGGGAGCAGGAAACTGGCCCAGCAGACTGGAGCCGCTCCTTCCAAATGCCAAGAGAGGATCCCGTTCGGAATGCGATAATCACAGTGGAATCAGCCTGACCGCCCCGTAGCCTAAAGGTAACGAGCATGTCTTGTTACCTGACGGCGCGGCTTCGAGCCTGCGTAGGGGCAGGGCGACCCTCGCAGCATCCTTAGCACACGTGCGACGGGTGGTGGTTGCGCGGCAGCGAATCGTCGGCACTGCGTATCGGCGTACTGTTGGTGCCTTTTTCAATTACCTCTGTTATGTGCCTGACTGACTGGCACCCACGAAAGACAAATAAGCGAAGATCAAGCCGGGTTTCGTCGAAATCGAGACTGCATGGACCACAAGATTACTTAACACCAGTTGATGCAACATCACCATATTTATAGGCGACTCGCTGTAGTCAAGTTTTTCGACATTAAAAGTGTCTTCGATTCAGTGGATCGAACATCTACTCAGGAAATGTGTCCACTATATATGTGCCGGAAGAGTAAGGGTTTATGAAAAACTGTCGCCGTTCCTCAATATCTCCAGCAGTGTGAGACAAGGTTATCCGCTGTCACCTTTCCATTTTAAATCCGCTATTGACGAACTCATGGAAACGACGTTCACTGGACATGTTCTACAAGGTGTGGATCTGCTTTGTAGTGTGCGGCTTTTTGACTTCGAGTATGCAGACGAGATTGCTATCATTTGTGACAGCTACCAAACGTGCCAAGCTGCAGTGGATAGATTAATACTAGCTGCCCGTCATTTTTGGTTATGTATTGCACTCTCCAAAACTGGTAGGGACCCACCCCTACATTGACACAGCAGCAACCAGCTAGAAGTCGTTCAGAAATTCAAGTATCTTGGCAGCTTTATTAGCGACCGTGGGAATGAAGACATCATGAATCGCACAGAAAAGCTCAAAGCGCTTTTGGCAATCTCCGCCACCTGTGGCGTCGGCGCGACATGGTTTTCGCCCTTAAAGATAGAGTTTACAATGCAGCCGTCTGTTCAACCCTCCTATACGGAGGAGAAACCTGGTTTATCAGACACAGGGGCTAATTACGTTCGACCGTCACTGTCTTCGCAGCTTAGCTCATGTCCGATTGGGACACGTCGTGAGCAATGAGCGTGTTTAGCGTCGCGTATTTGGTGCACGAAGAGTCAGTGAACTGCACAATACCGTTACATCACGCATCAGGCTCCAATGA